TAGAGATTTTTCTATGAATGTTTTCAATAATTTCTAATGTGTTTTATGGCTCTTGCTGGCTATGCGTGTTGCTCGTGTTTTATATTTGTTTTGTATTGAAATAAAGGGTACAATTTATTTATTTTGTCTAGATTGCGTTCATTATTTTACAATAGTATTCATAATTTAAGGTTTATGTAAGTTTTGTTAGCAAAAACAATTTTAGGTTATTTATTACTTCAAAAGTCAAGTGTCGGTCACCAACTCTGGTCCTCTGGTTTGATAGTTGTCAATAAGTTTCATGGAGGACTCGGCTGATATTACCGTATTTACTCTCCAGAAGAGGAAAAAATGGTCCTTAAATGTCAAACTTGAACGACGGTAATATTCTAATAATGGGTGGTGCGTGATTTGTTGGCACGAACATTTAATATACAGTAGCCTGCAATTACTTTTAAGATGTAGGAAGGCAGAGTGCCACTATTGTGTTTGTCCAATTGGACTCGCCGTACAATTTCCTGACTTGAATTGATTGCAGTACTAGAGTTCCGGCGTAACACGTTCGATATCGAGGGAGACTTTACCCCAAGAAGTGGAAACGCGTTTGGTAAGTTTTTAGGTATTACAAGAATGCACGTTTCGTTACAACCAAGTGAATGTCAAACAAGTTAGTTCACGGGGCTGTAGAGACACAATAGTTTCAACCAATGTAGTTAGTCCCAATGGACTTGCCGTACAACTTTCGCTTTACCCTGTTCTGGACTGTAGTCCGCTACACGAATTTCATTTTAGAAGGGATAAGTCAAATTACTGTTTTCTTCATAAAGTCTACGTGTAGTGTCAAACTTAAAGAGCCGACAAAAGTTGCGTGATGAAGAACGGGATTTAACTTGGTTTCGTGCTGTCGCAAAAGCGTAGCGAGGAATAAAGGGTACAATTTATTTATTTTGTCTAGATTGTGTTTATTATTTTACAATAGTATTCATAATTTTAAGGTTTATGTAAGTTTTGTGAGCAAAAACAATTTTAGGTTTATTTATTACTTCAAAAGTCAAGTGTCGAGCAGCGGTCACCAACTCTGGTCCTCTGGTTTGTTAGTTGTCAATAGGTTTCACGGAGGACTCGGCTGATATTACCGTATTTACTCTCCAGAAGAGGAAAAAATGGTCCTTAAATGTCAAACTTGAACGACGGTAATATTCTAATAATGGGTGGTGCGTGATTTGTTGGCACGAACATTTAATATACAGTAGCCTGCAATTACTTTTAAGATGTAGGAAGGCAGAGTGCCACTATTGTGTTTGTCCAATTGGACTCGCCGTACAATTTCCTGACTAATTGATTGGAGTACTAGAGTTCCGGCGTAACACGGTCGATATCGAGGGAGACTTTTCCCCAAGAAGTGGAAACGCGTTTGGTAAGTTTTTAAGTATTACAAGAATACACGTTTCGTTACAACCAAGTGAATGTCAAACAAGGTAGTTCGCGGGGCTGTAGAGACAACTGGTTTCAACCAATGTAGTTAGTCCCAATGGATTTGCCGTACAACTTCCGCTTTACCCAGTTCTGGACTACGCGAATTTCATTTTAGAAGGGATACGACAAATTGCTGTTTTCTTCAAAAAGTCTACGTGTAGTGTCAAACTTAAAAGAGCCGACAAAAGTTACGTGATGAAGAACGGGATTTAACTTGGTTTCGTGCATTCGCAAAAGCGTAGCGAGTCAGCTTGCAAGCAGAGCTAGGCCAAGTGGATTCGTCGTGCGAGCGAGGGGGACCGAGCACGCCGCCGCCGACCCCGCCGCCCATCGCTCCCACATGAGGAAGGTGAGGTCCTACGAGGTGGAGACCCACTGGTACCAGAACTACGCCACCAGTTCCAAGTGTAGGATACCCTCCTGTCTCGCCGCTTGTTCCCATGGAGACGAGATGCTAATTGTGCTGGAAGACCTGGATGTGGCTGGTTATGACCAAAGAAGGTATTTTTCTTATTATTTAAATACACGTTTTATGCATTTTCTGCATTGCAAGTAGTAGGATAGGGTCAGAGCCCTCCCACAGATGGCCAAAACTAAATAAGTCTTTAGTTATTTCTCAACATGAGTCCACAAACAAGTCCTTACTCCACCCCCAGCCGTCATGGTAACAAAGGCCAGTACTTAGCATGGATCTAATATGACTATATTTGACTCTTTTCTTCATAAATATGCAGTGGAAAATTAATAAAATGAATTATAATAAAATGTACAAATAATTGTAGGTTTTGAACCGTATGATCTTGTCGGATTTTACAGTTGCATTTTTGTAGCACAGATGTGTAGTGATATATATAT